CGAGGTGCGGCGCCCGCAAGCGGCGCCTGCTGGCCAGCATCTCCCAAAGCAGCGCCGCGATCCTGTGCCAGGTGCGCGCCTGCGGGGAACCGCGGGCGCGCGTCCTCCGCCTGCTGGCGCTGATGGTGCCCTCCTGGACGCGGGCGGACTCGCCGCGGCCCGCGCACTTCATCAGGTCCTCCTGCTCCATGTCGAAAAAGCCGCCCAAGTCCTCCTCCGTCAGCGCCGCGAAGCTGGCGTAGAGCTCGTCCAGCGTCCGAGGCCAGCTGCCCGTGGCCCGCGGGGACCCGAACCCCGCAGCAGGGCCTAGCCGCTCTACCTTGGCCACGCACCCGACCGCCTCCTCGTCAGAGTGCCTCTGGCCTGCGCCGCTGACCTGCCCTGCAGGCTCAGTCTCGCTCTCCGTGGCGGCGCACGGGGGCAAGTCCAGCACGTCGCCCTTCAGGGGATGGACGACCACTGTCCAGTCCTCGTCGTAGCACGCGCGAATTCCTCGCAGCGCCTCGGCCGACACTGACGGTGGCATCAGGGCGGGTGGCCCTAGACCGCTCGGCAATGTCTCATGGCCGTCGGAGCTCGCCACACGAGCAGGGCAATTTATCGCAGGCTGCCCCCAACTGCCAGTCCCAGGACTTGTATCCTGGGGGGCCGCTCCCGACGGGACTGGCCCCCCAGGATCGCGCCTCTCGCCGCCTCCCTGGTCGAAGGACTCGTCCAGCACGGCGGCCTCGACGTTCTCGGGACCGATGATGTACGGGGCCTGCGCCGCCTCGAGGTACTGTCCCAACTGCGCGAGCAGCGCCCTGCTCTCGGGGTCCAGGCCGCTGGTGGTCGCCACCAGGTAGACCGAGACCGCCAGGAAACCTCCTGGCGCCACGCCCGTCTCCTGCCCGAAGAGGATGTCGCCCTGCGCCTCTTCCTGCAGCCAGCGTCGCGTGCTCGCCCTGGAGGTCGTGTTGGCAGAGACCAGCCTCCAGAGTGAGCCCTCGCGGGGCGCCCTGGCCCTGCGGTTCGCAGCTGCCGCCCCCGCGCCCTCGGGCGCCTCAGTGGGCCTGGTCCTCGCTCTTCTCTGCTGCCCCTGCCGCGCCTTTGCCTGCAGCGGAGCCCGCTGGGAGGCGCAGGCGCTTGGGCAAGGAGCAGCCGTGCGACTCGAGGAAACGCTCGACCTCGGCTCGTTTGGCCCCACCAAGAGCCTCCACTCGGGCGTCGAAGTCATCGCCCTCCTCCTGCATGGCGTCCCTTCCCGCGGCTGCTGGTGACCCGCCCTCGCGGTCGGGAGGGCGCCCAGCAGGAGCAGCAGCCGCAGCAGGCGCCCCAGAGGGTGGGGCCTCCGCCGCCCGCTTGGCCGCCTCAATGCGGGCCTTGCTCGCGGCGGCAAGCTTTGAGAAGAGCTCGATGGCCTGGGTAACCTGGACGGCCTCCTCGCCCTCGAAAAGATGCTTGAGCTCGGCGGCGTACCTCGCTCCAAGGGTGGCTTGGGCCAGCCTGTCGACGTCCTGCGCGCGCTGGTCGAGCTGTGCCTCGGGCGGGAGGCCCGCCTGCTCCACCCTCCTGGCGCGCTCGAGCAGGTCCTGCGCCTGGGCGTGGGCCTTGGCTGCGGCCTCCTTGGCCTCCGTGGCCTTGTCCACCGCCAGCTGGGCGTCCGCCAACGCCTCCTGTGCGGCCTCCAAGTTCTGCTGAGACCTCTCGAGCTTGCCCGCCGTGTTTTTGACCTTCCACATGGCGCTCTGCACCGTGGCGTGGTGCGACTTGGGCGCCTCTGGGCCTGCCTTGCTTGGGTCGGCCTGCCTGCCGACTCCCAGCTTCTTCTGCGCCTCCTCATCAAGCTGGACTCCGCGCTCCTCCAGCAGCCGCAGCGCTGCTGCCAGCTTGTCGGCCTCGTCGTCCTCCCTGATCTCGACGACCTCCGCCTCGCGGAACCGCACCCGCCGTGGCTTGCCGCCGCCGTGCACCCAGGGCGCCTCCGTGGCCTCCGCCGACTGCTTGGGCTCCGTCTCGGTGCTGGCCTTGGCGCCCGCCTTGGCCTTGGGCGGCCCTGCCTTGGGCGGCCGCGCCGCGGAAGGGGACGGGCCTGCCGCCGCCTCCACTGCCCGCTGCCGAACGGAGACAGGCGCGGGGCCCCCGCAGCTCCTGCAGTGGAGCCGCGATGCCCAATTGGCCGCCTCGCCACAGCGGCAGCCCCAGGCTGGGGACTTGGGCCCCGGGAGCACGGTGCCGCCGCCGCCCTGCGCCGCCGCCCCGCCGTGGCCTCGCGGCCTGGTGCCCATTGCGTGAGCCAAGAGGGTTGCGGAGGCAAAGGAATGGCGAGAAGTCTGGTGATCGTTGCCAGTGCTCGTGCGCACACGGCGCTCTGAAGTATGTACGCACAAGACCCCCCCCCCCTGGGAGAGCCCAGAACGCCTTCCTCCTCCTCCTCCTCCTCCTCCTCCTCCTCCTCCTCCTCCTCCTCCTCCTCCTCCTCCTCCTCCTCCTCCTCCCCTCCCCTCGTCCTCCTCCTCTCCCTCCTCCTCTCTCCTCCTCCTCCCTCCTCCTCCTCCTCCTCCCTCCTCCTCCGCCTCCTCCTCTTCCTCCTCCTCCTCCTGCTCCTCCTCCTCCTCCGCCTCCTCCTCTTCCTCCTCCTCCTCCTCCTCCTCCCTCCTCCTCCTCCTCTCCTCCTCCTCCTCCTCCTCCTCCTCCTCCTCCTCCTCCTCCTCCTCCTCCTCCCTTCCCTCCCCTCCCCCTCCCCCCTGGACCCGCCGCGGACATGCACGCAAATCCTGGGCCCAGGCTGGGCCTGGTCAGGATCAGCGCACGCGTGCGGCCACCGCCCCCCACCCCCTCCCGAGGAGAAGCTGCGGCCCCGCTACTGGCACTCAGGGGAGGAACAGACCCTGAGATCCTGGCGTTGCCAATTTTTTCAAAGCGGGCGTCTTCCCTCGATGTTTGGGCTCCGGGACGCTCGCAGATCGATCTGGCTCGAAAAGTGAGGCAGAAAGATGGGGTCGGGAGGTCCCGGGCGTGATCTTTCGCGATGTTGCCATACTTTGTTTTCACGCCGGATCTCAGGGGAGGCACCGATGCCGTTGCCCTAGCCCTAGCCCCGTTCGGGCCCTCCTGGGCCTCCTGGGGGAGGCCCTCGTCGCCACCGCGGGATCCGCCTCGGAGTTCTGCTCAGGAGGAGCCCCCCGGGGAGAGACCCGGGGAGCAGCGGCATGGGCAGCTTTCCCTTCCCCCAGGTACTTCGTCGTCGGCGGCTGCGAGGGCCCCCCGCGCGTCGGCCAGTACGGCCGGCGGTCTGGAGCGGCGCAGGAGCCGCTCCCGTCAGGTCGCGGCGGGGGGGGGGGGAGCGGGAGTCCAGGCCTCGAAGATGGGGTCGGAGTTGGATGGGGTCGGAGGATCGCGCCGCATCGCCGATGCATCGGCGATGCGGCGCGATGTTGGGCCCAATGTTCTCCACGCCGGCGTCGGCGATGCATCGCCGACGCCTCCAGCGCATCGCCGATGCGTCGGCGATGCATCGCCGATGTATCGGCGATACGGCGAGATCCTCCGACCCCATCTAACTCAGACCCATCTAGGAGGCCTCGAGGGAGGCAGGAGTGTCGGAGGCCAGGTCACGCGACTGCAGAGGGAGAAGGAGACATCCCGATGGGAAGACAGCGACCTATCATGGCGCCAACATCGCAGAGCGGATTCCCTTCGGAAAACGATCGGGTGGGCCCGGAGTGTACTGGAGAAGTTCGTTCTGGATTTCGAGGTGGATTTCCTGCGGATTTGCTGTCGGCCAAGACTGAAGACCCCCAAAGAATCCACGCAGAAATTACGTCGTTTCTCACTCGCCGTTTCGAGACTTTGCCCTGGCAGCAGCCCGCGCAGAAATTCGATTACACGTAAGAGTGACCCTTCGCCCGAGTGACCTTTGGTGCGCGCTCATTGGGGTCCCCCGATCGCCGCGCTCGTTGCGATAGTAGCGTCTTGCGCGCTTGTGTTTGGCCTCCTCGCGCCCCCCAAAAAGCCGCGCACCAAAGGTCACTCTTGCCCAGGGTCACTTTTACGTGCAGCCGAGAAATCCGCTGCAGCACGTCTGCAAGGTCGGTGCAGTGGGAGCTCCAGCCGCCGAGAGCCCGCCCGCGGCCCCCTCAAGCAGGGCCTTCGCACAGCCAGCCGCCCCGGGAGCCACGCTGCTGCCACGCCGCCGCTTCGGGAGCCACGGCTGGTGTCGCTCCTCCTCCCCCTCCTCCTCCTCCTCCTCCTCCTCCTCCTCCTCCTCCTCCTCCTCCTCCTCCTCCTCCTCCTCCTCCTCCTCCTCCTCCTCCTCCCCCTCGTCCTCCTCCTCCTCCTCCGCCGCTTCAGGTGCAGCCACGCGGGGCGAGGCCGCACCTGGAAGAGGAGAGGGAGCGCCGGAGCCACGGCTGGTGTCGCTCCTCTCGGAAGCTGGGCGAGGGCTGCTAAGACCGTGGCTGCTAAAACGGCCCTCCCGGAAGGAAAAAACAACTTCCCGGAATGAGGCGCGGCACGCGAAACGGTCAACGGGCTTCTTCCCGGAAGGACGAAGACAACTTCCCGGAGGTCGATTTTAGCAGCCACGGATTTAGCAGCCCTTGCCCGGCTTCCGATCCTCGTGACCCGCGCGGCAAGTCGCTGCTTTGCCATGCAGTGGGGACGCGCACCAAGGAACCGCATGCTTTTCGTCAGGGTGCCCTGGGCTTCTTCGCTCCGCGCGCTGCGCGGTGACCCAACACAACCGTTGAAGAAGCTGCTGCGTTCAGGATGCTCACGTTTTCACCTCGCGCGCAGGTTTTCAGGGTTGGGTTTATTGCGGAAGTTTCTTGCGGCCGCGCCCGCACTGTACCCCGACCCCATAGTTGGCGTTGGCTGACTGTTCGGTCACCAAACAGCCCTGCTCTGTTCGAATCTTCCGTCGGGGGCGCGTGCCAAACGAGTTCGCATGTCGGGCTGCTTACTGCAAAGGCCCGTACGGCCAGCGCCGCCGACCCTGAAGGGGGACAACGACGACAACGGCGGCGGCGACGATTACGACGCTGACGTGGGCCAGAGAGATGCTTCTTGGTGTCTCTTCGGAAGGCTCTCGGGGGTTTTCTGGGAAGGCATAAGGGAGCCTTTGGGCAGCCTCCTGGAGGCCTCTTGGGAGCCGCTTGGGGCCTCTTCGGGCTTCCTGGGGACCTCTTTGTGTGCCTCTTGGAGCCTCTTGGGAACCCCTTGAGGCCTCTTGGCCTCTTGGGAGCCTCTGTCCGTTCGGGTCCCCTGTCTGGGCACGCTCGTGAAGTCGTCTTGGCGTCTTGGGGGCCTCTTGGGTCGTATTGGAGGCGTTGTGAGGTTTCTTGGGGTCCTCTTGGGTTGTGTAGGGGGGCCCTCTCGAAGCCCTCTTGGAGTCTTAGGGCGATCTTGGGGGCCCTCTTGGGCCGTATTGGAGCGGCGGGGAGCGGAAGAGGCGAGAACGCCCAGATCTTGAAATTAGCTTGACGAAGGACCCAACCATATGCAGTGGCGGGTGCCGTGAGGGAGATGAGACGAAGGAGGGGGGCGCGCAAACTCCGAGTAGCGCACTCGGCATAGCCTTCTGCCACGAACGTGCTAAGGGTGTGCCGACATGAGTCGCCAGGACGCCTGCGAACTTTCCCACTGGGGCCTTCGGTGTAGCTCCCTGTGGGGCCAAGGAACGTGTCAGGGGTGTGCCGAAATGGGGCGGCGGTGCCACGGGACTACGAAGCGTGTGAGGGGTGTGCCGAAATGGGGCCCCGGTGCCATGCATATTTTCCCACTGGGGCCTTCGGCGGAGCTCCCCATGGGGCCACGAAACGTGCTACGGGTGTGCCGAAATGGGGCGGCGGTGCCATGCGAACGTTCCCATTGGGGCCTTCGGTGGAGCTCCCCTATGGGGCCACGAAACGTGTTACGGGTGTGCCGAAATGGGGCGGCGGTGCCATGCGAATTTTCCCATTGTGGCCTTAGGTGGGGCTTTTTGTGGGACCACGAAACGTGTGAGGGGTGTGCCGAAATGGGGCGGCGGTGCCATACGAATTTTCCCATCGGGGCCTTGGGTGGAGCTTCCCATGGGGCCACGACACGTGTGAGAAGTGTGCCGAAATGGGATGGGCATGCGGAGAGCAGAGGCAGGGAGGGGAGGAGGGAGGAGGAGGAGGAGGAGGAGGAGGAGGAGGAGGAGGAGGAGGAGGAGGAGGAGGAGGAGGAGGAGGAGGAGGAAGGGAGGAGGAGGAGGAGGAGGAGGAGGAGGAGGAGGAGGAGGAGGAGGAGAGGAGGAGGAGGAGGAGGAGGAGGAGGACGCGGGGCGCTGTCTCTTCACAACGAGGACCCAACACCACAGGATAGCTGGGGAAAACCAACGGTAACTCAATGAATTTGTGACGCTTCGCGTATCTCCACCAGCGTGCTCCGTGAGTGAGGCCACCTGCTTTTCCCCTCCTCCTTCGTTCTTCTGCCGCCTCGCTCCTCCTTTCTCGCTGTTTTCCCCTCGCCCTGCTCGTCGGCTGGCGTCCGCGTGCGGGTGCAACGTCGCCACGCGCGGCTCGCCTGCTCGTTTCTCTCAATTTGTCCTGCATGTGCACTAATTCTCTGGCCCTGTGCCCCAGTTTGCCTGATTAGCACGCCCTCTGGACTTTTCCTTGCGGGCCGCAGAACAAAAAAAGTATCTCCACCAGCCCGTCCATAAACGATGCCCAGGCGAGATGCCTTGATCTGGGAAACGGCGGAGCATGCATTTGGATCAAGAGTTGGGGAAGCCGTCAAACAGAAGTCTTGGATCAGCCTGCGCAGACGCAGGAGCGAACCGTATGCGTCTTCGCGGACCTGCCGAATGAGGAACGGCGGGGAAGAAAAACGAGGAGGATGAGGGAGAGGAGGAGAAAACAGAGGAGGAGGAGGAGGAGGAGGAGGAGGAGGCGGAGGAGGGCGACGGCGACGAGGAGGAGGAGTACGACGACGAGGATGAGGAGGAGGATAAAGAGGAGGAAGAAGAGAAGGAAGAGGAGGAGGAGGTGACGGGGAAAGGGGGAGGGAGGAAATGGGGGGTAGGAAATAGGCGGAGGAAGAGGAGGAGGATAAAGTGGAGGAGAAGGAGGAGGAGGAGGTGATGGGGGAAGGGGGAGGGGGGAGAGAGAGAGAGAGAGAGAGAGCAAAAACAAATAGGCGGAGTAAGAGGAGGAGGATGAGAAAGAGGAGGAGGAGGAGGAGGAGGAGGAGGAGGGGGAGGAGGAGGAGGAGGAGGAGGAGGGGGAGGAGGAGGACAATGGCGAGCTTGGGGGGTTCTTGGGGCGTCTTGGGGGCCTCTTGGCGGTCCCTGGGGCCTCTTGCGTACCTCGGGGGGCCTCTTGGGGGTCTCTTTGGAGCCTCTTGGATGTGGGCGCCTCTTGGGGCCCACCTGGCCCCTGTGTGGGCCGTTTTGGTGTGCTCTTGGGAGGCTGGGGGACGCTCCTGGAGCCATCTTGGAGGACATCCGATTCAAGAAGAGAGGAGCTTCCATCCGCCGTGCCCCTCCAGAGTGCCTAGAAAATCGTGTCTTGGACCCCGCCCCGCCCTCCACCCGTGCAGCTGCTGCACCTTCCGAACGTCGGGATCCTAGATGGTGAAGAAGTCTCAGACGCGCTATCGGGGGAGGAGGAGGAGGAGGAGGAGGAGGAGGAGGAGGAGGAGGAGGAGGAGGAGGAGGAGGAGCAGGTGGGGCCGGGCAGCATGCCCCTCCAGAGGTGACGTCGGCCCGAGGCTGCAGTACCAGATCCACGCGGTGAACGGCGGCTCCACGCCGAGCGGGGAGGAGGACCGCCCTGCGTCTCCCCGCTCCTCGTCCTCTCTGTCGTCTGTCGCATGCTCTTCCTCTTCTGTCTGTCTCCCCCACCTTCATCCTTCACCCCCTCGTTCGCCCTCCTCCACCTCCTCGCTCCTCCTCCTCCTCTTCCTCCTCCTCCACCTTTCTCTTCCTGTTCTTTCTCCCCAGTCCTTCCTCCTCCTCCTTCACCTTTGTTTTCTTCCTTCGCCTTCTCCTCTTCACTTTCCTCTTCCTCCTCCTCCTCCTCACTCCTCGCCCTCGTTCTCCGTGGAAGACAGCCATGGTTCGCCCCTGGTATGTCTCTTCCAAGCGCACCATCCATGCCCTCCGAGCCGGGATGCGAAAACTGCACGGCAAACGGCGACTCGGAAGGTATTTTTTCCCGAGGCCGTGGGGGCCTAAGGAGGCCTAGGCGCGTCAACGACTTGACACAGCATGTGCATAACCGAATCCGCAGGCACATTCGACGAAAATGCGGCAACCAGCCTCGCATTTATCTGCGGCACGCTCATAGTACCACAATATTTTGACCACATGCTAGAGCATAACATGGCCGACATAACAACCAACACACACACACAAGTTTCAGCAGCTATGTGTTCACATTCAGCCAGAAGCCACGTGAGTCAACACTCGTACTCAACACAACCAGTAATGCAGCGGACACAGCGAATCCAACACTGCACGCCAACGATAACCCGACGATCTAGTTACATTCGCAGCTGGGACATTCACGTACCAACTTGATACACGGCAATAGAAGCAGCACAACAAATCACAACATTCAAAGCAGCACTGATCCCATCCAAGAAGTTCAACTGCAAACGAGATGAGCTAGTGCGTAGCACCAGCACCAAAACACGATTAGCCGACACCTTCGCCAATCGGCATCTCTTCTACCAAGAAGAGACATGGAACCCATTCTCAACAACTACACTATCAACCCTCGGCATAGCACACACCAAACATGGGGGGGCCAAAATATACACCACCACCACCTCCCTCCCCACCTCCCTCTCTCTGGAAAGAGGAGAGAGGAGGAATCGACGTGGTGGTGGTGTATATTCTTTGGGCCCCAAAAACACTGACAAGCGACCTACATATTTGCGACCAGCGACCCACACACTAGCAAAACGCACTGACTACCACATCGAACTACGCTCAAAATGGCTCAACCACGTAGCAGTCATAGTATCACAGGAACCACACATCCTTCACGACAGCTGGCCCTAAATTACGACCAGTACAGCGGTGCCCACATCAACCACTCAGCACCGACTCCACTTACCATTTGGACTCAACTTGTCACTACAGACCTACACTGGCCCACCACAAACACGACAGCACAGCGACGCGCAACGACAAAGGATGACCCGGCGGTGGCTCACGACGCGCCTCACATCCACAAGCAAGACCTTGACCACCCGAAACAACGAGTAACAGGTACATACGTCGACCAGCAATGCGGTGCTAAATGGACCAAAGATATACAGCATATTCCCCTACGACAGCGACCCACAGTCACTTTTCAGGCCGCCACCAGCAGCAGAGAGCACGGCGACCTGCTCTCCCTCCCCCTTCCCTCCTGCACCCTCGTCCTGGCGCTCGCGCTCGGCAATATTGGGGGGGAGGAGGGAGGTCGGCGGCGGGGGGGGGGGGCGGGGGCGTCCAGGTCGACGGCTGCGCCGGGGCGCGGGAGGCGGGCGAGGCGCAGAGCAGGTTGGCGGCGGAGGGCGTGGTGGTGGACCTGCAGGGCGGGGTACCTTTCACGCCTGCGGCGGCGGCTGCACACGCTGGCGGCCCGGGGTCGCCCGACGCCCCCGCGGACACGCCCTCGGCGCACCGAAGCGGCTGCCGAGCGCGCGCCTGCACGCGAGGCGGCCCGTGGAGCTGCGCCGGCAAGTTTGCCGAAGAGGCCTGCAAGCCAGATCTCTCGGCACCTCGGCGCTCGTTCCGCCGCGCGGTTCTGGCGTTGGCTCGGCGGGAAGGGCTGCTGTCTGCTGGAGGCGCGGGCGCGGGAGCCCCCTGGATCCAGATGCCCCGTGCACCAGCGGAGTGGTTCCCGAGCAAGTTCTTCCGCGCGGCCTCCCTGAGAGACGGCTTGGCGCGATGGGGGCTCCGAGGGGGGCAACGTTCAGGAGGGGAAAAAGGCACACAGACACAATTAATCGTCGATTCCCAGAAAATATGGGAAAATATGGGAAGTGGGGGGGAAGGCAGAAACCCAGAAAGTATAGGAAAATATGAGGATTTATTTATTTGTGTGTATTTGTTTGTGTGTCCCAGGGCCCCTTCAAACGTGCCAGATCACATGCCAGGGGCACGATGGCACGGAGGTGTGCGGGCAGCAGTTGAGTTCCACTCTGAGCCACCCGCCGCTCGGCAAGCGGGGCCCCGCCCCTGTAACACCCCCACCGGGCGCTCGCCCACGCTCTGGCCCTGGCGCTGTGGGCCTGCCGCGCCGAGGTGGACGTCGAGCGCGTCGTGCAAGAAATCGTGCGGGGTTGGGGACGCCAGCGTCGTGCAGGAGGGCCGTCCTGGACCTCGTCGCCGCGTCCCCCGGGAGCGCGCGGCCCCCGCACATCGGCGTCGCGATGCGGTGCCCCCATGCCGCCCGGCACGCGCAGGCGGCCAGCGCGCTTGGGCAGGCAGCCGCCGCGGCCGTGCCGGACAAGAGGAGCTGGAGCGGCACCGGCGCTCTGCCAGTGGCCTTCGAGACCTGGTGGAGACCTAGTGGAGAGCAGCGCCCGACCTCGTGGAGACCTCGTGTCAGTGGTCTTCGAGACCTGGTGGAGACCTAGTGGAGAGCAGCGCCCGACCTAGTGGGGAGAGAGCAGCGCCCGCGACGACGCGCTCGCTGGAGCTCCTCGCTGCGCACGGCTGCTGCTTGCGCGACGCAGGGGCTGCGCCGCGGTTGGCGCTGCAGTGGCGGCGGACGCTGGAAAAATCGTCGGGTTCGCCGCCGCGGGCATCGACCTCCTGTCTCGGGGCCACGACCCCAGCGTGGCGGAGATCTGGATCGCGTGCGGCCGAGTCCAGGCCGTGCACCAGTGGTCGCATACAGCGGGTGGGGGCCCATGCCAAGAAACACCATGCTTGCCTCCAGAGTGCCCTGGGTTCCTTGGATGTCGAGGGTTTTGCGATGGAAGGCGTGTCGTTCCCACGCCACAAATCAATGGACGCCCTGGGGTCTCAGGTTTGGGTTTCTTGTGGAAGGTTTCTTGTGGTCGGGCCCACAGTGTATATACTGTCCACGTGGCGTGATCACGTTGCGTCGTGGAGTCTCAAGCAGGAGAAGGAGGAGGAGGAGGAGGAGGAGGAGGAGGAGGAGGAAGAACAGGAGCAGCGGCAGTGCCAGGGGCAGGAACAGCCCCCCCGCCGTCGACGCAGCCAAGGGGCCCGCCCCTGCGCGCCCAGGAGTTCTCCTTCGACCACCAGGGGCTGATCCGGGTGCACCGCCGCGGGTCGAGGGTCCTCCTCGATTCCCGTCGATTCTCCGCGATCCCCCGCGATCCCCAGCCATCCCCCTCGATCTCCGCCGCTGCTCGATCCCTCTCGGTCCTCCACCCTCCTCCTCGGCCCTCCTCCTCCTCCTTCCCCTCCTCCTCCTCCTCCTCCTCCTCCTCCTCCTCCTCCTCCTCCTCCTCCTCCTCCTCCTCCTCCTCCTCCTCCCCGGTCCTCGATCCCAGAGGCCGCCCCCCCGTCGCCCCCCAGGTGCACCAGGGCGCCGCCGTCGCCTTCGCGCTCGCCCTGCTGGCCGCCCGCTCGCCCCGAGGGGGGGCGGGCCCTCCGGCCTCGCCGCGCTCAGCTCTCGTCGCCGCCCTCGCCCCCGCCGCGCTCGGCTGGCTGCCGCCCGTCGCCGCCCTCGCCCCCCCCCCCCGCGCTCAGCTGGCTGCCGCCCGCCCTCGCCCTCGAGGACGGCGACGACGACGACGACGACGACGACGACGACGACGACGACGACGACGACGAGGGCGACGACGACGACGACGACGACGAGGGCGACGACGACGACGACGACGACGACGACGACGACGACGAGGACGACGACGAGGACGAGGGCGAGGACGACGCGGGCGAGAAGGGCGGCGGGGACGACGGCGACGACGAGGAGCCAGGGCCCGTGGCTCCTCGGCCTCGGCGTCCTCGCCGTCGTCCCCTCGTCCCCGAGGGGATCGGTCGGGCGGGCGGTCGGGGCGGTCTCCGGAGGCATCCCAAATGCCTCTGAGGGGTGCAGGTTCGGGGGTGGACAGAATCCCCACCCTGACACGTCGACTAGTGAATTGTCCGTTTCCTGCTCTCGAGAGGGCGCAGCGGCCGTCATTTTTCAGATTTGCGCTCGCCAGGTTTCGGCCCGACGGCGTCTTCACTAAACCACGTTTTTCTAAAGGGATTTGTCCATCCCCGAGATGCCTCTGAGGGGTGTAGGCCCGAAGGGCTGGACGACTGTTCTCCGATCGGCTTACGGAGAGCAGGCCAGATGAATCGAGGTCAGCAGGTCAATTAAAATCTAGGTCGTCTTCGCATGTCGAGAACACTTCACAGGTCTGTCCACAGCTGACGAGGACGTTCTCCGAATGGCCGACAGGGCAAACGAGTAGATCGAGGTAGGCCCGGACAAATCGAGGTAGACCAAGAGATCGCTGGGCAACCTTGGAGCACACCGTGCACAATGGCCGCCACCAGTTCGAATCGATGGGCAGCCAGAGTTGTTAAGCTCTTGGCCAGAGACGGGCCAGGCACGTATCAAGAGCTCTGACCGTCGAGAAGCTGGAGGTGCGACAGGCAGGAGTCATCGAAGATACTTTCGTTGGAGCATCGCCGCCCCATGCCTTTCGGAAACGCTCGTGAGGCTGACCGTTGGGTCAAAACGTGTCCAAGCTATTGGACGATGTGTTCCCCCAGCCGTTGTGGAACCCTTGGGCGGAACACTTGGGGAAGGAAGGGAGTGGAGGAGGAGGAGGAGGCGGAGGAGGAGGAGGCGGAGGAGGAGGAGATTGCGGAGGAGGAGGAGGAGGAGGAGGAGGAGGAGGAAGAGGAGGAGGAGGAGGAGGAGGAGGAGGAGGAGGAGGAGGAGGGAGAGGGGCCTCTCGGGACCCTCTCGGGGGCTCCTGGAGGGGCCCTGGGAGATTCTCAGCGGTCTCCGAGGATCCTCGAGGGGGCCTCTTGGGGCCTCCTGGGAGCTGGGGGCCTCTCTGAGACGCCTCTTGGCATGCGGAGGCCGCTTGGGGGGAATCCCCGGGCCGTCGTCGGGCCGTTTGTTGGGGGCGCTTGAGGGGCGTATGGGCGGTCTCGTGGGCCATCGTGGGACCGTCTTGTCGGCATCTTGTCAGGAGAGGAAAAACACACAGACACAATTCATTTTCGATCTCCCCGAAAATATGGGAAAATATGGGAAGTGGGGGGGAAGACAGAAACTCTGAAAATATTGGAAAGTTCGGAGAATCCTGTTATTTATGTGTATTTATTTGTGTGTCTTTGGGCCCCTTCAGTATGGGCAGTCTCTTGGGCCATCTTGGGACCGTCTTGTGGCATTTTGGGGGCGTCTCGGAGCCCCCTTGGGGCGCGCCTACAAGGCGGGCAGGCGGACGCGGTGGTCCGCAGGTCCCCAAACAGGACCAGTGAAACACAAGCAGCTCCAGTGGTAATGCCAATACCAAGTTTTAGCGCCAAGCGAATGCGACATACTCTTGTTCATACGCTTCCCAAGCTTTGCTGTTATACGCCACACGGGCGATGGCAGCTCCGTTCTGCTGCGTTCTGCGTTTGGAGCCCCCTTGGCCCGTATTGAGGCCCTCTCGGGGGCTTACTGGGCCGTCGAGACCGCCCAAATCTGTCCAAATTTAAGACAATCCGTGTTTTGGGCGTTGCCGAGCTCTTTAGAGGGCCTCTTGAGGCCCTCTGCGTTCAGGCCATATTGGACCGTCTCGAGACCATCTTGGGCCGTCTTGGAAGCATCTCGGGCGAACTTTGAAGCATCTGGGACACTCTTGGGCCAACTTGAAGGCCGTCTTGGCCATCTTGGAGGCCATCTCGGACGGAAAGATCCTTGCCTCCCTCCTTTTCTGCATGGCCGGCGGGTCAAGGCGAAGGCCATTGGGCATTTGTTAAAGGGTTCAAACCAGTGAAACACTTAGGACGCCAATCACCCGTGACCCCTGTGATAAGCACATGGGGGACGCGCCACCGCGTCTAGGTTATAGGTCAGAGGCCACTTGGATGCATGTAGGGATCTCTTGGGAGGCTTCTCGGAAGCCCGGAAGCCCCTTGGAGGCAGTTTGGGGGTGTCCTGGGGTCCCTCGTGACCTCTTGGGGGCATCCTGGGGCTTCTGGTTGGCCTGCTGGCTGTCTCGGGGGTCATCTTGGGGCGGAGAGGGCGAAACGTGAATTCGGGCTCCCCCTCTTGGTGCCCTCTTGGGCTTTTCTAGTCAGGCGGCGATTGTCACCGATCCTGGGGAACTTCTGACGGGAAAATCTGGTCGCCCGGTGGCCTTGGCCCGCAGAAGGCCTTCCACTGCAACGGTCCGAGATTCAGAGGAGAAACAAGTACCGATGTCGCTGCCCTTTCCGTTGCCACGGCTGGATTCGCCCTGAAAATCTTGTCCGGACGCACCGTGGGAGAGGTCCGCGGGGTAGCAGTATGGCAGTGTGGGTATCCTTTTGGTTTCCCCAGAGATTCCTCCCCTAGACTTGAGTCGGGCCTGTCCCCCTACAGGGGGATTTTTGACGAAAAATTGAAAATACCCCAACATAGTCCAAAAATAGTCCCAAAATGGCCTGGGGACTATTGTTTAGTATTTCTTAACCTTTTTGGGGCATGTTTGGTGTATTTTTCATTTTTCGTCGAAAATCCCTCCGTAGGGGGACACGCCCGACTTAACCCTAGACGGGGTTCTGCGAAGACCTCGGGCAAAATCCCCACGGGTGCTGCACGGAGGGATCGAGGCCTCGGGGAGCCTCTGCTCGTCCGAGAGGTCCCTCGGGGAAGCCGCCTTCGGGCTCCCGGCTGGCCAGGGCCAAGACTGGCCAGGGCAGTGACAAGTCGTGGGGACCAATAAAGATATCTGCGTCTGTCTTATCATTCGGAGGTGGATAATTCGACCTCCTACCCTGACACGTCGATTAAGAAACTGGCCGTTTTCGACTCGCGAGAGGGCGTCGCGGCCGTCGTTTTTGCGGGTCCAGGTCCGTCGGTTTCGGTCCCAGGCCGTTTTCACCAAGGGGAGGTTTACTAAAGGGAGGTTTGTCCACCGCCGAACCATATCTTAATGATTGAAATCGAGCTAATTCATTGCAGTGAACATTATGTATAGTTTCTTGTTGGTTTGATCATTCCTTTTGCTGCAAGGTCAGATTTGGCCGTTCATGTATGGCTTGTTTGCTGCACAGCAGGATTCGGGCCTTTGTCTGGGTCCAGGGGCGGCTTGGCAGGCGTTCAGGGCCTTTGTCCGGGCTTCTTCCGGGAATGCTGCAGTGCAGTTGTTTTTCGTGCTGCCGTCTGGAGAGAGTTGGTTTCGAGAGATGTTGGATGTCCTGGTCTAGCGTGTCCGGGTATACGGAGCCCTGACGTCCTCCCCCAAGTCCCGCTTCTCCAAGGTTTCGCCCCAAAAGATTATAGGCTGTCTGACATCTCAGAAGACGTGGTTGGCGCGGCCTCGGGAACGCCACTCGGCACGAACGAAATGGGCACGGAAAGAATGGGCACGATGTCCAACAGCAGTTCCTGCTCATTTTGAACAGGACTCATTGTCCGCGCCGCCGCGGCCTGTGTCCACTCGAGACAGGAGGCCGCCTGCCCAACAGCGGCTGCTTTTGGTTCGGGACAACATTTGTTGTTGGGCATTGTACCCATGTTTTCCGTACCCATTTCGGGCGTCCAAAGCCACGGGCCGAGGGGCCCGTGCTCGGAGCGCTCCCTGGCCAGCTCTCCTCCCCTCCCCCTCCACCGCCGCTTCCTCCTCCTCCTCCTCCTCCTCCTCCTCCTCCTCCTCCTCCTCCTCCTCCTCCTCCTCCTCCTCCTCCTCCTCCTCCTCCCTCTGCGGTGCCAGGGTGCCGTATAGTGCACGACTGGACTTGGAGCCTGGGGGGATGGGTCTGCAGGCCGTGCAAGGCGAGGGCTCTGGAGGGCGCACGGAGAGATGCCAGGAGCAGCAGCGAGACGGGCATTGGCAGCGCCCTCTCTCAAGACCGTCGCTGCAGGCAGCCGCGGTCACACGCTAGTTGCAGCGGATTCTGAAACAGGGGAGCGTTTCATCATCGCTTGCAGGAGGTGCAGAGTCCACGCAGAGTCCAATCCGCGTAAGTTGTGCAGAAGCGAAGGTCCGAGTATGCTTGGGAACCCATTGGCCAAGGCAAGCAACCCCAGAAGCCTGGGAATAAATGTTTCTGCCCTCCAACCCCCTGAGCCAGCTAGCTCCTGGGGGGGCAGCAGGGGCACGGGCAGGATAGGAAGGGTGGGTAGGCTGGGCTGGAGCGGGGTGCGCTCGCCAGATGGGGAGCGGCCGCTCACGCCAACCTGGTTTCAGGCGCCGCGCCCGCGCGCGAACAGCAGCGTCGTTGGGAGACTCTGACCTCAAGTTTTCGGGCTGGGTCTGGTCGCCCAACGCTCAGCCTCTTTTCTTTCAGGATGCGTGCTGGCCCTCCTCCTCCTCCTCCTCATCCTCTTCATCCCTATCCCCTCCTGCTTTTCCTCCTCATCCTGCTCCTTCCCCTCCTCCTTCTCCTCCTCCTCCTCCTTTTCCTCGCCCTCCTCCTCCTCCTCCTTCTCCTCCTTCTCCTCCTCCTACTGCCCATACCCCTCCGCCCTCCTCCTCCTCCTCCTCCGCCGCCGCCTCCTCCTACTCCTCCTGCTTGTGCTTCTCCTCCTCCTCCTCCTCCTCCTCCTCCTCCTCCTCCTCCTCCTCCTCCTCCTCCTCCTCCACCCTCCCTCTCCCCCCAGGCGTGCCTGTGGACCACGCGACAAAGGCCTGGAGCGCAGGAGGCCCCCGAAGCGCCGCCGGCGCCCGTAGTCGAGGAGGGGATCGACTGCAGAATCCTCCTCCTCTTCCTGCTTGTGCTTCTCCTCCTCCTCCTCCTCCTCCTCCTCCTCCTCCTCCTCCTCCTCCTCCTCCTCCTCCTCCACCCTCCCTCTCCCCCCAGGCGTGCCTGTGGACCACGCGACAAAGGCCTGGAGCGCAGGAGGCCCCCGAAGCGCCGCCGGCGCCCGTAGTCGAGGAGGGGATCGACTGCAGAATTGATTACCCATCGGTCGTTGAAAGTAGGTATTTGGGGATTCCCAGTGCCCAATCTACTTTAGCCGTCTTCCTACTTCAAGAGTCGAGTGATTTTCCCCCTTCCCTCCTCTACAGGAGGCGGGCGGAAACCCAAGCTACTTCCAACGCCTTATGTCCCCCTCGTTGATTTGTGTATATATATATATACACATGGAATGTTAGAAGATCAATTGAACGTTCTACGATTTGTTTCGTAGAGCCGACGAGGAAATCAATCGTGGGGTGAATCAATTCTGTGGTTGGCTCCCTACTCGATTCGCCCTCTTCGCCGCTAGACCTGCTCGCGTCGCGAAAACATGCGCGACGCACGATTTCCAGAAGTGTTCGGTCTGCTGGGTCCCTCGCTGGGCCCTGGGTCCTTGGGGGGGTGATGTGGGGCATCCATTGAGACAGTCAAGACGCCGCATGTTTGGGTCGACGCCTTCTTGGTCGTCCTCTCCGTCGTCGTCCTGGTGGTCGCCCTCCCCCTCCTCCCCCTCCCCCTTCGCCGTCGGGCTCTTCCTCCCCGCCCCCCTCTCCCCTTCCCCGGTTGTCCCTCCGACCCTGGCCCTGCCCCCACGTCTTCAGCGCCGTGCTCGCCTCTCCGACTCCTTCCCCCGATCTCCCCGACTCCTGCCCTCGTCCTGCCGACCCCAGCTCCTGCCCCCCCCGTCTCTGCCTCCGACCCCGGCCCCAACACCGACGCTGGCCCGGGTCCCAGCTCTGGCTCCCCCTCCCGACGCCGCCTTCCGAGCCATTCTCCGGCTCCAGCTCCGACTCTGGCTTTGGCTCCAACGCGCGAGGCCTGGGCGCAGGCAGGATATCTCCACGACAGGTTCTGACAAGAGACGCTCGGGCCCTTCCGCATGCCAGTCTGGGGATTTGCTGCACCATCGCCGACTCATAGTCCAATTTTGGCACGCTGACCCCGATGCGGGCTCCCACTCCAGTTCTGACAGGAAAAAACAGGTTGACCATGATCATGCCCGACTCCCAGCCACACGACTCTGACTCTGGCTCGCCCCTGCTCCTGATATCGTCTTTCTGACTCCAGCCCCTGCCCCCAGAACATCATGAGAATAGCACCTCCTTCCCAACACGGAGATTGCCTGCTTCGCTCTTCTACGACGGTGTCCTTTGTCTCTCTGACGGTGGTGAGCACGCCTTCCTCGGCTATTCACACGTCTCTCCGTCTCCGACTGCCGTCCGACTCCGGTTCCTATCTCTCCGACCCCGGCTCCCGCCGCGCCGCCTCCTGACTCGGGCCCGGCCCGCCCGTGCTGCCCTCGCCGGGCCGGTCCGTCGCACCGACCGTACGCGCTCCGCTCTCCTTGCTCCCCTTGCTTCTCCTCCTGCTTGTCCCTCCTCCTCCTCCTCCTCCTCCTCCTCCTCCTCCTCCTCCTCCTCCTCCTCTTCCTCCTCCTCCTCCTCCTCCCCCTCCTCTTCCTCCTCCTCCTCCTCCTCCTCCTCCTCGTCCGCCGCTTGGGCTGTCTTGGGGCCCTCTGGAGGCGCTCTCGGGCCGTCTTAGGTCTGGGGCCCTCTTGCGGCCGGCCGTCTTGGGTCTGGGGTGACTAGGGCCGTTCGAGGGCCTCGGGCCCGTCTTACGGGCCTATGGGGCCGGCTTGAGCTGTCGGAAGCCAGATCAGGTGGGAGGCGAGCAACATTGAAAAACTTTTGGGTCATCATTGATTGTTGTTTGTTCGGGCACGCCTGGAGGGCTTCTTGGAGCCCTTTCGGGCTGTATCAGCGGCCTCTTGGGTAGTCTTGGGGTAATATGGGCGTATCTTCGAGGCATCTCGGAGCACCTTGGAGGCATATTGAGGCTACCTTGGATCATGTTAGTTGTGTTGGCGCCGTCTGGAGGCCAAACTGACTACCGAAAAACACCCGTGGGGAGCGATTTTCGAAGGGTTGTCGCGACGAGGGGATGGGGTCGGCCAGAGGAAAAATTTGAGGGACCTTACAAGACAGCAGAGGAGCATTCTAACACGCCACAATGTGAACAAGGCACGGTGGTGGGTGGGATAAGGAAGAATTTTGGAAAGGCTTGGCCTGAGGTCAGGATTCAGTCAATGGTTGACGATGCAGCGGAGGCTCGGGCTGTTTCGTGGTAGTTCGGCGCGCCACATAAAAAGGGCGATCGAGGAGTTCCCGATGTTTGCCGGAGAGTTCTTTTCTGCTGTCCCGGGAGAGTTACAGACAAACAGTAAGTTTGCTTATTGGCGCAGGAAGTAGCACCCACCGCCGTGCAGGCGCAGAAGTCTCTGGAAGTATGCGTCCAAGTTCCGCGGCGATATTCTCGCAGGGAAGCTGAAAACTGCGTCTGGGGCTGGCCTTCGCAGTTTTTTCAGCCCCGACCGGCCAGATTGACAGTTCCGATCCATTTCTCCTATGCGTACCCGCCTGCCCATCTCAGAGTGTCCAGCTCCCTTGTAGTCTGGCGGAGATGGAACGGGATGCTCGGTCTAATCCGCCGTTTCCCGCCTTCGGAGGAGGAGGAGGAGGAGGAAGAGCAGGAGGAGGAGGAGGAGGAGGAGGAGGAGGAGGAGGAGGAGGAGGAGGAGGGGGGGGAGAGGAGGAGGAGGAGGAGGAGAAGAAGAAGAAGGAGTAGGAGGAGGAGGAGGAGGAGGAGCAGGAGGAGGAGAAGGAGGAGGAGAAGCAGGAGGAGGAGGAGTGTGAGGAGGAGGAGGAGGAGAAGGAGGAGGAGGAGGAGAATGAGGAGGAGGAGGAGGAGGAGGAGGAGGAGGCGGAGCAGGAGGAGGCAGGCTAAGGAGGCGGGGAACGGGGGGCGTACCCTCCCTGTTCCAGCACCAGCGCAGGAGGTCTCCACCAAGAGCCACCCCTACATGCAGCTCGTGCTCTTGTCGTTGATCTCCTCCCTATGCTCCGAGCTCTTGGGCTGCGGGTACTATGTCTCTGTGGCGTCGGACAGCTGCGCGCGCGAGACGGGGCCTCCATCTTCTGCTGTCCCTGAATCATGTGCCTCGTAGGAAAAGAACCTCTCCTGAGAGCGAGGACAGCATGCACGTGCTGTGTTCTTGTGTTTGGACGGGGCTAGGACGAGGATAAGTCCGTTCCAAAGCGTTACGGAACGCGCTCAGAGCGTCCTGGAACGCTCTGAGAAGACCGCGACGCCCAAGACATCTTCCGGAACCGCCAGATCTCAGAGATTCCCGATTCATCCTCACCCGGATTCATCATCGTCCTGGCTTCGTTTGATGTGTTGTTCATTTGAGTCAGGGCTTATGTTTTTGGAGTAGTGTGTCATTGATGTGTTACACTCTCAGCAGTTTTGCGTACACGCATTGGACGAATGTTGAAACGATCTGACTGGGCGGCATGAGCGGGCCCGAGGGAACCTCATTGCGCAATGCATTGTTCCTCCAGGCTGGCCTCCAGGTTCATTTATTCTTGCTCCGAGCACAGGTGTTTCAAGTAGATCGTGTATTGGATGAGGTACCTGAGCGCGCGCTTGTATGCTCAGCATTCCCATTCGTTTGGTACCCCTTCCTCCTACAGATAGGACGGTTTCGGCTTCCAGCGCCTCCAGTTTATCGGGAAGCTGGCAGCCGTGGTCGCCAATTGCGACATCTTTCTGATCACCACGCTTGCTGGTCTTCGGGGATTGCAACATTGGAAGCTCCCCCCCTCGCTCAATTCAGAAGGGCAGATCCCACATGTATGCCAGCACTGCTATTCAATAGTGGTTGGCATCCCCGACGAAGAGCATGGTCGATGCAGCTTTACACGATGGAGAGGCCAATGATGACGCAAGGAGGAGCAGAACCAACCCATCCTCCGGAGGGCGCCACCAATACATCTACACCCGATCCTTGCCAGGCCAACCGTGGACTTAAGAGATCGATGCGCATGCTTCCCTGGCCAAGCCATGAGGGCGTACACACCTATCCTGGGCCCAGGCTGAACCTGGCCAGGATCGGTGTAGGTTTAAGTCGGGCATGCCCCTCTACAGGAGGAAAATTCAAAAATACTCAAAAATACTATGGGGATGATTTTTCGACCATCCCTGTTATTTCTGAATATGTCTTGGCTACTTTCAATTTTTCTTCCAAATTCCACCTGTGGGAGAACATGCTGCTCGACCTAATTGTACGTGCATTGCTGGCGTCATCCTGATCCTTGCCAGTGCCCCCACTGCCGGCAAGATACCCCGCTTGCGAATTCAGGAGAAATCCTCCTTCGTCTGGTCGGACCCTCAGACGAAGTCTCTGGGCGTCCTCTGGACGCGGCTACTGCCGCTCTGGAGTGCTCCTGGCGTGCTCCAGAGCCCTTCCGTAGAAGAAGACGAAGAAGAAGAAGAAGCAATCAAAACATATATATATATATATATATATAGGCATAAACACAAACTGTTGGCGCTCCGCGCGGGTTTCTTGGATCCGCGCCCGCGCCCCCTGGCGGCGCCTCCAGCGCCGCCCCTGGCGCGCTCCGCGCGCCAGGGAGGGGGGCCCGGCGCGGATCCACAAAAAAAATCCGCGCGGAGCTCCAGCAGTTTGTGCTCATGCTTACATTTATAGATGTATATGTTTTATTGTTTATTATTATTCGTCTTCTTCTACGGAAGGGCTCTGGAGTACGCCAGGAGCACTCCGGAGCGGCAGTAGCCGCGTCCAGAGGACGCCCAGAGACTTCGTCTGAGGGTCCGACCAGACGAAGGAGGATTTCTCCTGAATTCGCAAGCGGGGTATCTTGCCGGCAGTTTGTGCTTATGTGTTGGTTTCTTCTTCTATTCCGGACGGCCGCCGCTCATGCGGCATCGTCCCGGTCACGCGGGGCCCCGCCGGGAGGGCCCGTTCTCCACCACCACCCACCATGTGTAGCAGAGGGAGGGGGACGAGGAGGAGGAGGACGAGGAGGAGGAGGAGGAGGAGGACGAGGAGGAGGAGGAGGACGAGGAGGAGGAGGAGGAGGAGGAGGAGGAGGAGGAGGAGGAGGAGGAGGACAAGGAGGAGGAGGAGGAGGGGGAGGAGGAGGAGGAGGAGGAGGAGGAGGAGGAGGAGGAGGAGGAGGAGGAGGAGGAGGAGGAGGAGGAGGAGGAGGAGGAGGACCAGCGCTCTGACTGTGGGTGGGTTCGCCGTCTTGGGCGTGAAATCCGCATCCCCTGGGTTGGGGCGTTCGTGAACACGGCGGAATCGCCCTGGCTAGCTCCCGACACTGCTCTGCTGGCTTGCATTGAAGCTGGCAGCGTCAGCCTCAGCTAGTTCCTGGGCTAGCTGAGCCAAGGGGATGGGAGCTTTCAAAATTATCGGGGAATAGGCCGCACCTTTGGGGTGTCGCCCCTCCATGGCTCGCTGTCGTTGCAGCTTGCGACCGTGGTTAGGCGGGGACTCTGGGCATGTAGCTTGAAACCCTGGACCTCGAGTGCTCTCGGCGAAGCATCCACACTTCCAGCACATGATGATACTCGAGGGAATAGATTCGTCCACAAAACCGAAGAAATATGGGAGGTGTCCTTTCGGGTTGATGAGCAAATCACTGTGCAGTGCACAGTGCCCAGGACAAACCTCCTTCTCACGACGTTGTCTTACTTGGGTGCTTCCACACCTCTGTCTGTACGCAGAACATTGCCAGCTGGAACCTATCTGGTGCCACTGGTGGGCCCTGTGGGGCCCAGGGGCCTCGGAGGCGAGGGGGGGAGGCCTCGGAGGAGGAGGAGGGGCACCAGGGGCCGCAGGGTCCCGCGCACCTTGGCCCCAAGAGGCCTGGGCTGAGGCAGCCCCCGAGGGTGGGGAGAGGCTCTTGACAGGCTTGGCCAGTGCCTTGTTCCTACGTGGGGCAATCGCTGGCCACTCTCCAAGGGCCTTGGAAATATATCGGAGGTACTTCTTGAGCAGAGCAGTGTCACTCTGATACTGCTCTGTCTCGTTAGTGCTGGGTTGGCTGCCAAGGTTCGCGGCGGCCTTGGCAATCCTATCGGCGGCATCGTTGCCTCTGGCTATGCGATATTCTTCGCTGTCGGGTGGCAGCAGCTCCAGATTTTGATGGGCCTTGACTTTCTGGAGCTTGGGGCCGAGGTCAAAGAAACCCCCTCCCGCGAGGACTTTACAACCAGACCACAGGTTACGGCGAGGATAACCTGCCTCCCCATGCAGCTGCAGCACTCCTTTATAATCAGTATAAACGCTGGCAACCTGGCTCGAGAGTCTACCCGCAGCCACGGCTGCGAGGTGCTCAGCTGCCCCCGAGGTTTGGGATCCCAGGGTCCCAACGCGGCCACTGAAGGTGGCAAACTCTTCACCATCAACCATGCACACTACAGCAAACGCTGCCGCATTGAAATCATAGTGGCCGTGATTCGTACAGCTGCCGTCAATAAACACACCCCCTTTGAACGCTTCCTCAGGCCTTAAATGAGGGTCTCGACACCAGAACTGGGCGGATTCAAGGCCAGTACCAGGAGGGGGGGAGCCCACGAAATCGGGCTTAAACTGGAAGCCGAGGTGGAGGGGGGAGGTGCCAGAGATCGGGTCTTTCAACATACGAAGCTCCCCACTATCGAACACTTCTCTGGCGTTGGCGGTCTTGGGGCACTCCAGGAGGCGATGTTGGAGGTCATCTTTGTGGTGTCCACATGGGCAACCTTGGGGCACATCGCATCCCGCTGCTAGGGCACGCTCCATGGTCCATGTGCCCTGTGTGGCAAAGGCCAGCAACGTGCCGCGCCGCTGCTTGGTTATGTCGTCTGACCTGAGGACAGTGCATAGTGCTGCGGCATCCAGCCGCTCTCCTTGAAATCCCATCTTGGCAGCAGCCCGCTCTGCGAGGCGGTCGCGCCAGGCAATCTCGAGCTGCTTGGCAATGTAGGCTGGGGAGGTTCCTGGGAAGGGGGTACTCAAGTCCTGCAGGGGTCACAAACCTAAAGCGCCCCTGGAACGACCAACCCACTCTGGCCAACGAAAGGGCAGCAGCACTCAGAGGGCCCCTACAGGAGCCCCACGCTCTAGAAACCCTCGGCAAAATAGCCTCACCCCAGTAGCTGAGTTGCTGGAGACTGGCCACAGCCTTGTCAGGAAGGGCATGGGCCTCCCAGACGAGACGGCGCCACATGAGCGCGGGCCCGAGGCCAGCTTTCCACAGGGGGTCCTGGAGGATGAGGAGGGCGAGAGTACGACTCCTTGAGGCACACCTAGGACCTGCCGCGGCTAGATACTGAGACTGCGCCTGCGCGAGCATCGTGTTGTTGACGCCCGTGACCTCCACTCCGAAGGTGGTGGCCGCAGCCAGGCCAGTATTATATAGTTTCTTTACATTGCCTCCAGCATGTTTGATCATCTTAATGCGGGTCATGCGTTTCTTGATCTTGTTGATGCGCTCCAAGAGCTTCCTTCATCTCCTCCATCTCCTTTGGGGTCGTCCAGCTCCGCTTTCAATGCCGAGGTTGGGTCCTGAGATATCCGTGGAGGGCCCCGCGAGCGTCCCGAGGGTCTTCCTAAGCTTGTTGTGGAGGTCCTGGCTGGAGGCTAAAACCTGGCTCTTCTTGTTAGCAATCTGGCACTTAAACTCGTGCTGGATACATGCGGCTAAAGACCTAGCCGCCGAACTCGCCTGGCAAATCACAGCGTCGTAGCTCCTGCCATGACACTGCAGCAACAAATCGTCGATAAACATCGCGAGACGGACGTGGCTGCGCGCGGCCGCCCACTGGTCAAGGGGAGCGAGCACATACATTTGCACCAGGTACGTTGCCCACCCACACCCAGCAATGAGACCCCTCCACGCCTTGCCGACATTGACGCAAACATATTGCATGGCAACAAACCTGGAACCTCCGTACTGAGCGAGGATGACACGGAGCAAGCAGCACGGGAAACCAGACGCTACAGAACGCTTGGCGAGGCACTCACGGTCAACATGTTCATAATAGTTCGAGAGGTCCCACAGAGTTTGAGCGGAGTGTTGGGGTTCCTCACGGCAAGCGTGAAATTCACATTCAAGCGACTGAGCGTAGACGAGTTCCACGATGGAGTGCCCCGCCTGGTGTGCTATGTAGGGTCTTTTTGTGGTGATACTCCCACTCACGGGCCGCCGACCTTCGCAAACGGGCCCACACACGATAAAGAGCAGGGAGCATGCCAATCGACCGACAGGCTGGTTGTGCGTTGATGTCTTCCTGCTGTTTGAGTTTGAGCATGAGAGTCGAGATAGCACCCTGCAGCTGCGATGGCATGTGCCCGATCTGCTCAACAAGCTCGATCAACTTACAGACTAGGTCGGCTTGCTCGTCGTCGAGCATGGCGAAATGACGCGGGTGCACTCCATCCCACGTTGAGGCCGTGCTGCGCGGAAAACTTCGAGAAACTTTGCGGAGGCGCTCAGGGGTGATGGGTCCCAGGGCCACTCTGTCGTCGGTCGGGGGAACCCACTGCGGAGGGGCTTCGGGATGGACGTTCCAAAACTCGGCGAGTCTGTCGGCCTCAACCTGGAGGATGTGCTGCGGGCGTCCAGAAAAACGCTGGCGATGCACAACAGAGACTGGCTTCCAGGCTTCGAGCTTCTTCGTCCACCTGTGCGCCCATCCCGCTCCACCTCTCATAGAAGATTGTACCCAATCCCTCCACTCCTGCCCGTCCTTACTGTGCTCGGCGGCAAGCTC